ATAAATTCAAAGTAAACATCATTACATAAAAGGGTACGGTCTTTTTTTTTTTTAGTTTTATTCATTTCAAACTGGCCGGATCCGGCCCACGGCCGTAGTTTGCCCACGGCTGCTCTGGCAGCACGGGAACCCTCGGGGGATGTCCACTTGCCAGCGGAGAGCAGGCCTAAGCTGTAGTCGGACATCCTTAGAGCTGCTAAGGAGGCGGAAGAGGCTCCCACCACCACTGCTGTACTGGCAGCCATCAGCCTGGCTTGTGGCTGAGCAGAGCTCCCCCTGTGGAGCACACTGAACCACCAGGGGGCTGCTACTGCATTGAGCGTCTGCCCCCTGGTGGTCAGTGTGTGTCATAGTAACCCAGTTGTTCTGCTGTTAGGGTCAATTTGCATATTACCCTTTTATTACATAGGATAGAGGCCTGGTGCATGGGTGGGAGCCAGCTGGTTTGCCTTGAAGGCTGTCCCAGATCAGGGTGGGGATCCCACTGGGGTGCCTGGCCAGCCTGGGTGAGAGGCTGAGGGCCGATTTCAGGATAGCCACACCTCCTTCAGGGAGGGGGGTCCTGCTGGGGTGCCTGGCCAGCCTGGGTGAGTGTTTGATGGCTGTTTTCAGGCTGGCCACAACCCCTTCAGGGTGGGGGACCCCACTGGGGTGACTGGCCAGCCTGGGTGAGGGGCTTAGGGCCATTTTCAGGCTGGCCACACCTGCTTCAGGGTGGGGGGTCCTGCTGGGGTGCCTGGCCAGTCTGGGTGAGGGGCTGATGGCTGTTTTCAGGCTGGCCAAGCCCCCCAGCAGGGACCCTCACCCCATGAGGGTGTGGCCATCCTGGGTGAGGGGCTGATGGCTGTTTTCAGGGTGGCCACGGCCCCCAGCCACCCAAGCTCCCAGTCGAGGCTGGCTGGAAGCAGGTATCTTGGATTTATTTATCTTCTATAATTGAAACTTTGTTGCCTTGAGTGGAGGCCACAGCCAGCCAGGGCAGGCGGGAAGCTTGGCTTCCTCCATCACCAGGGCAACCAAGCCTCCTGCTTGCTCCAGTTCGGTGGCTGCCAGCCGCCATCTTGGTTGGGTTAATTTGCATATGGTCACTCTGATTGGCTGGTGGGCGTGGCTTGGGGCATAGCGAAGGTGCGGTCAATTTGCATGTTTCTCTTTTATTAGATTAGATTTCAGTTAAATAGGAAAATCACCCTACAAAATAGTTCTAATCTCCCACTTTACAAAAAAAAAAAAAAGTTGGAGATTACAAAATCCAAGGAATTTACTAAGAACATTTGGCAAATCTGTCTGGTCCTAAATTGTTTCTCTATCACTCCATGTTACCTCCCTATAAGCCTGCCAATGAATACAGCCTTTTTTTAAATCTTTTTGCATCTGATATAGATGAATTGATTGACTGATATGAATAGTTGCATGCAGTGGAAACATCCCATAAGGAAGACAGACTATTGGTTTTTTGTTTTCAAAGACTAACTAGCATTCCAAGACATTGGCACAGAAGCAATAAGTGTGCACTAAGATATACTCTGGCCATTTATAAACAAGATCTTTCTACTTAAATTCGTCTAACATGGTAAGCATACCAGTGGGTTCCCCCTTCCCCAGCAGTGAGGGGAGGGTGTACACTGGGTATAGAGTCATCCATTACCAACCTTGGCTGCTTTGAGAAACAAATTTGAATTGTGACTCACATGAGTCACATGATTTAGAAGTTAGTCTAAAAAATACTTGAACCATTCAAGGTCAATTATAGTCTCAATTATGTGCAAAAATCATACTCTCTCCATTGAAAAACCAAGAGGGCCCCAGCAACTTCAACATTTTCTTCATCTCTTGCCTTAGTTTTTCAAAAGCAAACACTGGAGTTTGCTGCTGATAAAGGAATCAATATATCAATAACAGAAATAAAATTTCTGATCTGGTGTTTGTTGGAAATCTTGTTAGAGAACAAAATTACTGTAGTAACAGAGATAATTGTCAGCATCTTTGGGGGTCAACCTAAAGAAATAGTGCTGCTAAGTAAGAAATACAGATGAAAGTAGGTAAGAGAGCAGGGAGGAAGATAATTATGCCGTGGCACTAAAACAAAGGTAAAGCTGAAGAGTATCCTATATAATAAAGAACTAACATGCAAATGGTCATCACACCCTCATGCCCTCACACCAGGGCCTGGGGTCCTGAGGCTGGACTAGGGGACCTGAGGCCACACCCCTCACCCAAGCACCAAGGGCTGTAGGACCTGAGGCTACGCCCCCTGCCTAGCGGGGCTTCACAGGAGACCTGAGGCTGCACCCCCCACCTAGCAGGGCTTGACGGGGAACCTGAGGCTGTGCCCCCCACCCTACAGGGCTTGACAGGGTTGGGGCCGGCCAGGTTTGTGTCTTGCAAGATTTCGAGGTATGTGCAGGTGGGCAGGGACTTGACTCTGGGTCCCATAGCACTCCCCAGTCTCTGACAGGAAGGAAATTTTCATATACATTTTACTAATTTTCTTTTATCTCTGACACTTCTTATAATAGAAAGGGCAAATAGCAATATTAAAATATTTCCTCTAATTAATTCCCTTTTAATGTGCATGAATTTCATGCACCGAGCTACTAGTGTTTTAATTAAAACCCTATGCTGTTAGATCTGCTCCTTTTTATTCCAGAAATACATTATTTCATTGTCTTTTTGTTGCTTCAAGTTGCTTTCTTAACTAAGGATAATTTAGGCTAATATTATATTTTGTTTGACTTTCCTGAGCCCTCATCAAGTGGTAGAAGGAAGTTAATCCAGAAATGTGTTAAGGAAAGATAATGTGGAAAAAACACTAACAATTATCCATCTTGAATGAGGAACCTTGGGAGACCAAGTATCTCCCCTCTACCCCAAATCTCACAAAATGGGGAAAATGCATATATTAAAAGAAAACGAAATCCATGTATGGTAAGATACACTTCCATAATATCAAGGAAGTTCTCATCTCAGACCCAAAAAGATCTGGAATAAGTCACATGAGACTCTAGTTCTTACTAGGGACTTGTATTGTTAAACACAAATTCACTTATTGAAAGGACTGATCCATAACACATAAGGCACCCCAAAAGGCAACTGCACCTGTTTTCTGACCCAGAGTCCTGAAAACGGAAGGAAGTTTTCCTTCCAATGCCTGAGGCAGTTCACATATTTGCAATAATGAAACCATTTTTAAAAGATGAGTCACTTCTCAGTTTTGTTCTACCTAAGGCTAAACTAATGGAGTCAAGCTCCATTGAGATGACTCTCTTGTCGGTGTGCTTCCAACCAGCCCAGTGGCAGTCAGTCTAGATCAAGGTTTGCAAGTGCAAATTTTTTCATTCCCCCATTTTTCTTTTGACTTAGGGAAATTTTAACTGAGTAGTCAGCTGGTAATATATGCACTAATACTAAAAACACACATGGGAAAACTTGAGTCAAGCTTCATGAAAGGCAGCGTCAGCTGAGTTACATCTTTTTATCTAATGTAACTGTGGTTTGCAAAAAAAAATATATGAAAAGTATATAAAAAATACAGACAACTGAGCTTACATTAAGGGTATATCAGTCCTGTCCAGTGTAGCTCAGCTGGTTGGAACTTCAACCTGTGCCCCGGAAGATTGTGGGTTCGATTCTGGTCAGGGCACATACCTAGGTTGTGGGTTCAATCCCCAGTCAGGGCGTGTACAGGAGGCAACCGATTGATGTATCTCTCTCACATCGATGTTTCTCTCCCTCTGTCTCTCTGTATCTCCCTCCCTCCCTCTCTGGAATAAATAAAAAAAATTTAAAAAGAGTGTATCAAGATGTTAACCCCTTAGTCAATTAAATCACCCTCATAATGTGGTGTTGAAAAGAGCATATATATGTGTGTGAATATGTTCCATATGATGGATCATGTATGATAAAATTATTTATACTGGACACCAAAAAGAGATCAGATTCTTACCTTTTCAAGTATGGCATTGCCTTGGTGAGGACTAATGTTGTGCTCACTTATTTCTCTCTTGTATTTATATTCATAGATGTGGTCAGTGATATTAATCAGCAAAGTTGATGGACTGAAGGCCAGTTGTCCACAATCATACACAGTTCCACTTTCAATATCAGTTGGTGCAGTGGCATATCGTAAAATTAATCCCATAATAAGGCCTAAAATAAAGAATAAATAATTGCACTTGAGGAACACAGTCTAAAATGTTCACTATTGTATGCTTTTAAATATGTGATTTGGAACCTGTAGAGTGGCAGAAGAAAGAATTGGGTTGTTGCCTCCTTTGGAAAATTGTTCTCTCTTTCATAGACACCAATTCAATAGGTTGTATTGTTAAAATATTTGTGATGAACATTACTGCTTGAATACCCAGCATATATTCCCCCCCCTTTTTTTTCTTTCTAATGGACCCATGAATTTTGGAGAGAAGAGCTACCCACCTCTTTTATCCACCCAAGTGCTTCTAGAAAACCTCTGCTTTGTGAGACACTGAGTAATTGAATCAGCTAGGAGACAGAATTCCCTGGGAAAAGTTTCCAGTCCATGGATCAGCATATCCTATCTAATAATAGACAAACATGGTAATTAACCATACCTCCGACATGCTTCCCATTGGCTAATCAGGGCGATATGCAAATTAACTGCCAACCAAGATGGCGGCCGGCAGCCAGGCAGCTGAAGCGAACAGGAGGCTTGCTCGCTCCAGTGATGGAGGAAGCCAAGGTTCCCCGCCTGCTGCTGC